GCCCCTGCGGGTTCCCCGCTGCGCGCGCCGCCGGCCCTGCCCCAGCCCGGCGTGTTTACTGCAGTGACTTGGGCTGCAGACGGCTCTGTGCGCACCCATCCCCCACCCCCAAAAGTACTCGCTCCTTTCCCCATCCAGCGGTGGTCACCGCGTGCGCATGGAACAGAGGGGGCGCTCCGGCCACACTCTGAACCAGGTCCGGCCACTCAGGAGGCTACGCCGAGCCCTTGCTCTACCCCGGGAGTGTCTCTCTAAGCCGCCCTGGGGCATGCGCCGGGACTGGGTGGGTCTTCGGGAACGCGCGGGTCCAAGGGTGAGCAGGGGGGGTCTCTGAGCCCTTCCTTTCCAGATTCCGGGTCTCTGGGCGGGACTCCCATCTGCAGGCTTCTCATCTTCCTCTCCCGCACCTAAACGCGGTACTCTTAGGCGCCCTCTCTAAGCCACCCCGAAGGGGCACCTAGCTTTTCGCCCCGGCCGAACCTCCGGTAAGAGCCCTTAGTCGGGAGAGTTGAGGAAAAGGGTCAGGAGCGATCCCCGGAGGCTTTTTTTCCCGCAACCCGGGAAGAGAGTGAGCGCAGAACATGTAAAATAAGGAAATGAAAAAAGAACTCGGGAAAAAAATCCTTTTAAGAAAAAATTAAAAGGGACGAGAAAAGCCGTGGCCTCCAGGTGGGAGAGAGGACAGTGCCTCCACCTGTTTGGGATCCTGAAGATTTGTTGGGCTCACAGAGAACCGCCCAGGAACCGTCCCTGGGCGTACTAAGGACAGAGAAGGCAGCCCCGAGGGCTTCCGGCCGCAAGTGGAGAGCAATAGGGGGAGGGCAATACCTCCCCCACCCCTCTTCCCTGCGCGCCCCTGTCCCCGTCCTCCTTGGAGTCCGCGGCTCCTTTCCCGCTCCTTCCCCCGAGACCAAACTCCGCGAGCGCCCCGGTCCTCCTCTGTGTCCGCACCCCTGTCACTTCAGTGCGCATCCTGCTTCCCCACCTCTGCCCCTCCCTGCACTCCCCTTGTTTTGAGACACCCTTGGCGGAGGAGTGGGGTGCAAGTCCGTTGGGAGGTGGAACATCCCGCCGCGGTAGAGCTCAGGCTAGATGGATTAAAGACTCACTTTAGGGGCCTCCCTAACCCGCACCCTGGCAGGGTGCCTCGGTGCAGAGAAGCAAGTCAGCGAGTGCTGTCCCGCCGTCTGGCCACTTTGGGCAATTTTTATGTTTTGTAAAATACAGAACGTCAGCGTGACAGCACAACCCCAGGGTAAAGTCTTCTCAGCTCATCCTCCCGAAGAGTCCTGAGCGAAGTGAAGGCGGCCAAGGGCTCCTGAAGGGAGGGGCTTGAGGACGCGGGCCGGGCTCCACCCGGGGATTTCGTTGCAGGAGGGAAATGGCTCGGATGTCGACGCGGCAAAGTGGACGCAAAGGAAGGTTTACCGTGCCCGCAGCTTGAAGCTCCCGTCAGTGACTACAGGTGGCGGCCGTAGGCGAACTCTGCGCCTTAACCGCCTGGCGCAGCACCCAGGAAAAGAGACCAACCTGCTGTGCCCGCTGCGAGCCCCTAACCCGCCGAGCGCCCGAGTGCTCCGCGCTCTCGGTGGGGTTGGACGACGCAGACCGGAAAAGAACCACACAGAAGAAACCCTGATGGTTGTCTTCGGCTTCTGTGCAGTTCCGCCGCCCCCGAGTCGTCTGCTCTAGTGACCCTATGAACACTTTTTAAAAACAAAGGAGTTGGGGAAAGCAACAGCTGAATGCTCTTATTTAGGGCACAAGCCGGGGATCGGCTTGGAGGTGGCTGCTCCAGCAACCCAGACTGTGCCGGGGAGCTTCCCGCCCTCTCCCGCAGAGTCCGAGCCTAGAGAAGGGGCAACGTGAGAAGGGCAGCTAGGCATTAGATGTGTGCTCTGGTCCTGGATGTCGCCCTTGGGGACACAAGCACAGCAGTGTCCCCTCCTGCCTCTTCCACGAGATGTGGAGAGGGAGAACGGAAGATGGCTTGGACTGAAAGCGAGAATGAAGTCGGGCGACATCTACGGCCCTCGCAGGAACCACAGGAGTCGCCGGTGTGGTCTCTCCAAGTTCCGAAACCAACTTACTGCGGTGTATTGCCCTGCTCCACCTCCCCGTCCTCTGCAAGCAGCCGGAGCGCCTTCCCAAAGCTTAATTTCTTTATTAAACTTTATCTGTATCTGTGCTCTTCTCAAGAATAGATGACACTTTCATTTAGTAAAACTGTTTTCCCAGCGTTGTCTTACAGTCCATCCGGAAGCTGCCGGCCTGGAGGGACGAGCCCGAATTCTACTTTGCCCAGAGCAAAACTCCAAGCTCACACTCCCCTCTCCCCAACCATGTGTTTCATCACAGAGCCCAAGGGGGCCTGATTCACTGGAAAAGCATCACTCGCTGAACTGAACCTTTGCCCGTGGGTGTTTGCTTTTTGTGCTTTGATTTTTTTTTCCGACCCAGCACCACAGTCTTCCCAAATCACTGGGAATCTGAGTCACACTGACAGAGGGAGGCCTTTGGTGGCGACCGACTCTGGGGCACACTCAAAGGGGAGCCCACTCAGTCTAGGGGGATCTGGTGCCTAACGGGGCAGAGGTCGTGGCCCCGCCCGGCAGGGTTACAGAAAGAGCGTAAAATGCTGCACTCCCGGGGCTGCAGCCCGGCTCCCCGGCTCCCTTTCCCAGCAGCGTAGAGAACCTCGCCAGCCTCAGCGGGGACCCCCCCCCATGACCAAAATCCCTGAGGGCCGCGTGCCAACCAGCCTCGGACCCCGGCTCTGGGCGTCTGAGAAGCGTCGCGGCGGCTGCCGGCGCGCCACCACTCTTCCCACCACACCCGCTATAACTTGGCTCTCAGCTTGGGCCCCCGAGAGCGAGCCCCCTTCGCGGCCAGGGGATGCAGCGGTGCCTTCCAGGCGGCCATCGAGTTGGTGATTCCAGCGACTGGTGAGTGCGGGGAGGTGTGTGGGATGTTAAAGGCGGAGATCACCCTCAGGGCATCGTCTTTCACTGAGTCGCATAAATCGAGCAACTGCAAAACACGACACAAAGGGACAGGTCTGATGTTGGCTCACTCATAAGAACCTGGTGCCCGCGGCTTTACGCCCACTCCCAGGCACCTGCACACCCAACGCCCGCGGACACTAATCTCCCTTCCGATTTCCTGGGACCCAGGATGGTAGTCGCCCTCACATGCCTTTTTCATCTTAGAAATTCCTAACTCTGTGACACTTAGTCGAGCAGAAGCTCAGCTGATTTTGTAAAAGGAGTGTAGGGGAGGGGGTTCCAAATTAGCTGGGGGCGGGAGATCAAAATCTGAGAATTCATCAACTTTCCCCTTTCCAATCCTTCTCTCCCCTCCCCTCCTGTCCCCTTCCCCCACCTCTCCTCCAGTCCTTTCCCTTTTCCTCCTCTCCACCTCTGGAGTGCCTGGGGTGCCACCCTCTGGCGCACAGAGGCAACTGAACAGGAAGAGCATCAGAACAGGTGAACTGGCGGAGACCAGCCCCAGTCCTCCAGACTAACATCTCCCATCCCTAGCTGGCAGCAGGCCAGGAATCTGAAACACCCACACAATGGGACCAGGGTACCAAGGCCAGGCATTGGCACTTTTGTTGGCACCTTCCACCTGGCTGCCTCGGGAAATCTACCTGTGGGAAATTAACACAAAGGAACCCTGCTGACACCCTCCATGTTCTGACAACCACTGGAAGGCACCGATAAGACTTCCCCGCAGAAGGGAGAGGGAAATGCAGGCCAGTGATTTTGGAGGAGCTGCACTGAGTATATTTTTATTTCATTTTCCATGGTTTAGATGGCAGGGGAAAAAAAAGCTACCCAAAATAATACATTGTTTTTCTAAAAGTTGACAAGGACAGGTCAGAAGAACTGATTTCCTTTCCACTTACCAGCTACACACTTTACTCCTCCACTTTTCAAGTTTTCAGCTGGCCGTAAATTTTTTCCACTCACCAACTTGAAGTTAAGCCCCCAGGTTTCTATGATTTATTTTTATGGTTTTTAAAAACATCACTTAGACCAGACCCACTTTGCCCTCATGGTGGCGGTCATCGCTGAGCAACACGAATGCTGTTAAATGACCACAGTTCCTTTGCAGCAGTCCAAAATGCCATTTCAGGTGTTCAGAGACAATGAAGGGGGGTCCCCAAAACAGGGATGTGGGGAGGGTGGGGAAGAGCATGAATTTCAATAGTCCAACAATCTATCTTCCCTTAAAATGTGCTCTATTACCTCAGTAATTTCCAAGGAAAACGTTCATTCTTTACACGCTGTGGTTAAGCATCATCAAATCAGTACTGAAAAGACTTTGATCCTGTTTGCAAGATGCACTACGATGAACTTTCACCAACCAAGATTTCAGAGTTTGTCATTAATACTCTTGACAAATCCCTGACTAATCTGTCAACTCTGAACGTCTCTAACCACACAGTTCAAAACCATGAGATGGTGTGCAAGCCTCTAAACCTTCCACATACTGTAATATCAGTATTCAAGACAGTTTTTCCTTTGGGTTTGCATCACAACTCAACCAACTGTGTCATATATTCAACAACAGGGGAGATTCAATTATTTGAAAGAGCGCCGTTTGGGAGAGAGTATGGGTTTGGTTGGCCTGGTGTCGAACACAGAATAAAGGTCCAGAGGTAGAAATTACAGGAGGCACATTTCTATTCGATATTTTGACAACTTTAAAAATGAGAATAAAATTGATTTTTTAGCAAAAGGAATCCAATGGCTGGTGAAGAAGAGGGTTTCCTTGCTTGTTAAGTGTTCAGAGACCAAACCCTCTAATGACATTCCAAAGAGGAATGCTGGATTGACTCGGAGAGTGTGTGTTGACTGCTACAATTCTTTCTAAACCTAAATTTCCTGGGCTGTCTGAGATACCCCTCCTTTTCGTTTTCTCCATTTGTCACAGACTGCCACACAAACCCCAAAACAATCAGTGTCCCGATGAAAGATGGGGCATCATTCCAATGCGTTTGACTCAGATCCCAGGTGTCTCCCTCCTCTGCCGGTGAGGATGGTCACAATAATGATCATCCTTCCACTTACAAAGTAGGTACTGTAGTCCCACGCTGTGTTGGGGATTGTGCTGGGCACTGGAGTTAGTGTGAACACATTAGTCTCAAGCTTCTGACATCACGGAGCTACTGAGCAGTTTTAAAGACATTTTACAAATATGATCTTCATACAAAGTAAACTTAGGTAGCTTCTAGAACATTGATGATGACACAGTTACAGTACTTCCATATTACCAGATAGCCTTTTAGGACTAAGCAAATTATTATAAAAGTTTAATTACCAAACATAAGCATATCAAACATGCTTCCATACTATAAGCATAAAAAATGGTACACATTATAGGACTCCCCCATTCTGCCAGTATGCAAGCCAGTTGAGTTGGATGAAGCACCCCAAGCCTGCCCATCTCTTCACAAAGAATATTCACTAGCTTTTGCAACAACATCAATGGAGAAGTGCCCTTTAAAAATAAAAGAATATGAGCAAGTTTTAAATTCTTGCAGAATCTTTTTTAAAGGACAGGCCGAAAGCAGGGGAAAGTACTGCTCCAAAAACAAGAAGAACACAAGATCCACTGGAGCTATCCAGTGAGTGGGATTTGGGAATATCTACTTTAAAGAAGAGGAGACAGCTCACAAGGGAGGGACAGTATGTGGATACGTTAATATGTAGATTTTTCCGGGGGAAATTTAATAACATCGGTTTTGCTTCCCACCCCCACCTAGTTGCAGTAGATTAGTTTTTTTCTTCCTCTTTTTGACTCTCCCTGCATTTTCCTTATCCACTTAGGAGAGAGAAGGATGGCCTAGAACAGGCAATGACGAAGCTTTACGGCCTCCAAAGCAAACCCTGCTTTCCATGGCTTTGGTGTTAATTATACAACAGATGCCCAAGGTGCGCGGTACCCAGTGCGCACGCAGTTAACACCCCAGCGATTCCTAAGACTCTGCAGAAGGTTTTCCTGCCTGCTTCCACATCCCCCATCTCTGTTCCCAACACCAGATGACCTCTTGCTGTCCTCTGTTTGTGTGAAGTGCCTTACCCCACCTTGAAACGTCCCTCAGTTAGCCCCGTTCTTGCTCGGGCACTGTGACAATCTTCTCCATCCCTTGAATCTGGGCTGCCTTGTGACTTGCCTTGACCAACAGAATGTGGAGAAAGTGATACTGTATGACTTTCAGAGCTTAGGCCTCAAGAAACCTTGCAATCCCTACTCTCGCTGTCCTGGGACCCTGAGACCACTCGCTGGGCAGAAGCCCCATCCAGCCTGTTGGAGGATGAAAGGCCACATGGAGAAGGAGGCCACAAGGTGCGTCAGCCCACAGCCAGGCCCACTGCTAGATACGTGAGTGAGGCCATCTTGAACTCGGATGACTGCAGTGATCCCGCCTAATACCAGCTGAAGAACTTCGCTGGCACCCAGGCTGCCTACCCACAGAATTGCAAGAAAGACACACTTGTTATTTTATGACACTAAGTTTTAGGGTTGTGTGTTACACCGCAATCGGTAACTGAAACAAAAAAAAAATTAAATTCAAATTGCCATTCGCTGGGGTCACCGTCAGCTGCGCTTGCATCCTCTGACCTTAGTTATCTGAGGACAATGGGATACTTAGACAATTAAAGCAGTTGACGGGTGTAGCTGGCGGAGAGGCTTCACTGAAAGAGAGACGTCAGTCCTAAAAGAGTAGTTCATACAGCCAAATGAGTGTCCAGTTGGTGGGGTATATGGGAGAGAATCTGAATAGGTCCCACTGCAGGCCACCACCCAGCCCACTTCTCTAGTACAATTTTGAAGGCAAATCACCAGGACTTGCCTCATAACCATCCTCCACTCCTTCAGCATCTCTGTGAAGGGCTTTAGCCTCCAACAAAAACCCTCAGGAAAACCAAATTGTCAAGGATGGGAAAAGAGGACAGAAAATACTTGCAACCAGGGATCCTAAGTCTTGTAAATGCTCACGTTCTCCTGTGCTGTCAGTAGAGGGAAATGGATGGGGGACTGGCCAGGACCAACCAGAGGCAGCTGGTGTGATGGAATGGATGGGTACTTCTTTATCACCTCATTTCTCCAGGACTGGGAAAGCAGTCAACTGTTTAACCCCGCCCCCGAATACTATCATCAAAGCCTTTAAAGGCTTCCCAGGAACTTACAACCAGGTTAAGTTTCAAAGTGAGTCTGTCCATTTACACATAAACTCAGGGGTGGGGTGGACAGTATGTGAAATCCGATATGGGTATGTGGATGCATGGCTTGCCCCCTCCATCCAATTGGATTTTTCTTTATTCTGTCGTGCTGCATAATATTTCTCATTTCAAACAGCTTTAGAGCGTGTCCTCCTTAAAAAAGAAGGTATGTGTCAACACACACGCCTTTCATTGACTGAGTCGGTGGACTCCACTTGGGATGTGACGGTGGCCTGACAATGACAAGCTAAGGGATAGGTCCAGAGATACTTTATCCTGTGATCTGACCCCTCTGAGATGTCTGAAACTTTTCGTAATGATGTGTGCACGCCTGTGTGTGAAACAGTATCAGAATGTATTGCTTCATTTCAGTGAACACCACCTTCTCCAGATGGTTGTTGAAAATGGCCAGTGAAATGGGTATCAACGCACCTCCGGCTGGCTTCTAACACTTCCCATCAAGAGAAAGGTTGATTCAGGAGGTGGGGGTATCGCTCAGGGGTAAAGCAACTGCCTAACATCTGTGAGGTCCTAATTCAACCCCCAGTACCTCTATTAGGAAAAAATTAAAAATTTTAAAAAAGGAGAAAGTTTGATTCATCTTTGCTGTCTGTCTTCATCATCCACAGAGAAGTCACCCACAGCTTCTCAGCTCCATCTGTCTTCACTCTGGAATCTGGTATGAGAACCCTCTCCACTCTTGTCCGTAACGTCTTTATTCAGACCTTCATTACGTTCCATAGATTTTTGCCCCACAAAGTTACCTTCCTTGAGTGTTGTTTTGATCTGATTATTATT